TTGAGAAATTAACAGCACAAGCAGGAGGATCCATCAGCATCCCGTGTTTCTATGGTGAGGAGCATAAAGACCTTGTGAAATCCTGGTGTAAAGGAAAAGACACGTCATCCTGCAGCCCAGAGACACGCAGTGACTCCCTACTGCCCATGAACAGGGTGTCCATCACTGATGATCCCCAGAACTTACTCTTCATTGTGACCATGAGGAACCTGCAGCACATGGATTCTGGCTCTTATTGGTGTTGTGTGGGTGATGGATGCAGAAGATCTGAGGATTCCTCTGGGAAACTGGAGCTGTTGGTTTCTACAGGTAAGTTGTTTGATCCTTTTCTTATGAACAGCTCTCTCATTGGTAGCACTTTCATGAAAATGTTGATGGCTGAGCTGGTTCATTATTTCCTCTATATGTCTTTCACTCTATCCCAGCATCTCTGCTTTGCATATAACAAAGAATGTTCAAATACTGATTCTCAAAATCACATCTGATTATTCTCCATTAAACACTCAGGTCTGAAATCATCTTCTTTTGCCTGTAATGTAATTTCTCCTCTATAAGTTTATGAAAGAGTAATTGTTTTTGATCTGCACTCTTGCACATTATGCACACATACTGCTAACTCTGTATACATATTGCACTCTCACACATATAGAATTGAATTGGCTGCTACTTAATAATAGCACTATTTAAGAGCCCTTTAATTTATTATATCATATCTATATAGTTTATATTCCTATAGTTGTATATTTATACTACAATTATTACTTTGTACATACATACACATACATATTACATGTTTAATCATTTCACTATCATCATTACTGCTACTGTTAAAAACTAATTACCATATAATTATCACATTACCCAATTGCCAATCTGTGTCTATTACTTTCTGTACATACCTTTGCTAATTGTTGTATGTTTTTTGTAATGTCTTCTAAAAGCACAACCAAGGCAAATTCCTTGTATGGAAACATACTTGGCTAATAAAAAGGATTCTGATTCTGATTTACACTGCCCTAACTGATTAAATTGATGTTAGAGAATAAATAATTTGTTGTGTGGAATGAAACTGGTTCTTAATAGTGTGAACATCTCTTTTCCATGTCTAAACACCTGTTTCCTGTTAATATAAGCTCTGATGACCCATTGTGCCATGGAATAAAAATGGTAATTTATGTGCAGTTTAATAATACATCATGACTTTGCTGTCCCTGCCCTGTCAGGCAGGGCTCTGCAATGCCTGTATATGCCTGTGTGAATATGTCTCCTTCCCTTCATTCATTCACTCACTCATTGCTGCTGCCATAATCACCGTATGTGACCTGTCAGGCTGTTATTTTATATTTTTAATGCTCCATTTTGCATGAATTGTCCCCATAGAGGTTAGGAGTGTGAGGACCGTGAGCTGGATAACTGCAGAGAGAGGAGGATCTGTCACCATCCCATGTTACTATAATGAAGCTTATAAAGATCAGGTGAAATCCTGGTGTAAAGGAGATGAATGGGATTCCTGCTCCAGAACAGCACGATCAGACAGTAATCAGGATGGAGGGAAAGTGTCAATCTCTGAAAACCGTGACCAAATGGTGTTTAATGTGACCATGAGAGACCTGCAGAAGGGGGATTCTGGGTATTACTGGTGTGAAGTGAAGCATGATGAGAGGACATATGACAAAGCATTTCTGCCCCTGATGGTCCAGGAAGGTAAATGTTTTTTTTTTTCTGAAATCAGATTAACAAGGAAAATGTCATGTGTTAATTATTTAATATAGAGTTGGTTGTATTCAGCAGTATATACCCTCCATGCAGGCTGTGAGTGTTGATTCCGACCTCCTTGTGTGCTGTGTATATGTGTACCTGCTGTGCACTGTGACCAAGATATGCAGCTGGAAGGGGACTGAATGCATTTCCAGTGAAATATGCGGCTTTATGACTAAATCATTGATTTTCTTCCAGCTAATGGTCCTACAGGAAAGTCTAAAGTGGTGACATT